CTTTGAAATATCGTTGTATCATCAAAGGTAAATCCAAATGATGCCTCTTCATGTTTGAATACCAAACAGATAATTCCCATACGCTTTAATGATAGGTGGTTCCAGTTTTATGAAGTAGGAAGCTCTATAGCGAAAAACTTCAATTCGGGAAAAATGCAAAGGGGAGCGTTGTAGAGAAAGAGGTAATTCAAGAAGTCCAACAGATTACATGAGGCGAGCCCAGCTTTCATAGTTTACTCTCAGTCTGATACTGCTTGCTTTTTACCGTCTATCATACACCTCTCATCAAATAGGCTCTGAGAATTTGGACTTAAATTACAAAATAAACCTTCACTTATATTTTCATATTATTCTCGTCACCTCTCTCTGATTGACAGTATATTGAGATTGTAAGGAGAAATTATTTATTGGTCTCTCTCGGTAGAGAAGGCGTTAAGCAAAGTGGCCAAACCAGGATCGTTTTTTCAAGGGGCTTATCTCGTGTTTGTGGCTGTTGTTTAATTGCGAAAATTTGAAAAGAAAACCAAAAATAGCATCAGCGCTTGGACATAAAACCCAAGAATTCCGAAAATATCAAATTGATAATGGAATACTCACTTCAAATTATTAATTTTTTTTTTCATGCGCCCTGAATATGACACTGCATGTTTATGAACAAAACAGGCCAAATATACAAAACAGACTAAAGCATACAAAAACATACAAGTAAGACAGGTGATAAATGGTACTCAAAGTTTTGATTTCCCATCTACTCTAGCATTTTATTGCGTTTGCATGAATTCGCGCAACTTACAAAACCTGAGTACTACGCGCGCTCTGATTGGTCCAAAGCTATTGGTTATTGAATCGGCAAAACCACGTAAAATTCAAAGTTTCAAAACTATAATAATGTGAGCGGCAGACCACACTTGAATGACCAGCATCTAGATTATCCATTTGGAAAACTAGGCTCGAGGACAAACTCATCCGTGTCGTTTGTGTTCGTTTGGCCTGGTTTTTATATAATCGTCCCGATCACTTGAGAATTATTTCTGAGGCGATCGTAATGATAGAAAATTCAGTCAACTGGGCCTATGATAGAGGAGCTATCATAAATTATAGGACCACTAATAAAAAGAAGATTCTTCTTTTTAAGGAAACAAAGGAGAACAAAAACAAAAATCCGAGAAGGCTTTAGCAAAATAGAGTAGATGATGGCCCTTAAACGGCTTGAGTTCAGCGGCAATGAGTGATTTGTCAAATTCAGTCCTTTCTTTAAAACTCTTACTCTAACCACGAAAATTAGTCATTTTTCTAAATCGTTAAACATTAAGCTGTTACATAGGCACCGCGACTACGACTGGTAAATCCAAACTGTACATTAGGATATAAAACCACTACATCAATGAAAGTTCCATGGCACAATTGTGATGTCTTATATCAGACGAAGGAAACGCATTACAACGGTTAAAAAATCGAAAATAAAATCTACTAAATAAAGATTAGTAGCATGTCAGCATGGCTTCCTTGAGGCAGACCTACAGCTACATCCACACAATGCATTGGAATCAAAACGTCGGGTGGGTGATCTAAATGACAAATTGAAGAGAGATAAAATCAAAAACTCGAAAATTTCTTTAGATAGAGACCATTTTTATTCCAAAAACTCCTCCACGATGAAAAGATTTTATCTTTTAAGTAGTTCACGACATAATGCGCTATACACTCACTTCGTAACAAAAGGATTATCATTGAATGCTAACTGAAAAACAAATCAGTCATTGGAGTTTTTGCCTCGGTATTTTCACTCGGAAAACATTCAAAAGATACTTGTAAAGGTATAAAAATGGACTTAAATCATAGCAGTCAGGACCGAAATGGCTGTGTGATGCAAAACATCTGTCTCCGGCCGGTTTTGCAAACATCCAGTGAACGATATGGGCTTTCCTAATGAAGTACTTTCCGGTAGATACTATGCAGCTACATTACCACGTTTTCAAATCCATTCTAAACGCATCCTTGCAATACTTGTTATTGATCTATTCTGCAAATTCACTTTCAGTTTCAGCAATCACTGAAAACTGCGGCCTCGACTGAGGCAAATACCTCCGTGCAAATTGAAATTCCATATCAAGTTCCAAACAATACCTCAAAAAAAAAATTTCTGATGTGTATAAGCTACTGAATTTTCAAAACCTTCAAAATGTTATCCTACTGTACATAATTATGATGATTTGCCAACATCCCTCAACTTGTGAATTTTACAGCGGGTTGACGATGAAGACATTTTAGTCTTCGATCTGGCATTACCACAACTACTAGCAGGCCATGTAAGCAGATGACAAAAAGGCGAATAAAAACATTTGATCCACGTTTGGCTATTATTGGGTTAAATATTTAATGTAAATTAATTTTTAAAAAAATCCGCGCCGTTTCCGAAACGTCGAAGACTTAACAGAGGCAAACACGTAATCTATTCAAAAGGAGGAACAATTTTACGAAGCAAAGATTAATTGGGACTGGGAGACAACTTGATTTGGCAGCTAACAAGTTTGCCATATGCACTTATCATTAATTTTCTTTTCAGTGTTGCTACTTATTGTCAAGTAAAAAAAAAGGTGTCTTAATACATACTCTAAGCTTTTGTGACAAACTGGACATGTCAAAACCAGACAAGTGTATGTTATGATAAGCATAAAAGACCAATAAGCAGAATTACAACGGCATCTCTAACAGAGCGATATAAAAAAAAAAAGACGTATAAAACAGCGCGGTAAAATGCCGCTAAAGAATCGGTTTATGCGTGGGCGAAAAGGAAATTAGCGCAAACAAAGCCGCCGCGATCCATTTGCATCTATTAGCTTAACCATTCGGTTAACAATTTGACAATCGTTAGTGATCTTAGGAGTAAGTTTTTTTTTTTGTCATGAACAACTATTGCTGTAGCCGATAACATAAAAATAAAGTAAGGAACCTTTCGCATACCCTAAAAGTTTGAAAAAAAAAACTAAAAAAAGTTAACTATACAATTATACAGCAGGTCAGTATTAACAAATACTGGTGCATAGCATCAGAAAATTGTCAGGATAGATTGCGTTCACACCGAAAAAACGCCTTTCTCTTTGGAGAAGTTAACAAGCTGACTGGTCGTAATAATCAATTAGTATAGAGTTACTAGTTGGAGGGCTCGTCGATGAATTAACATATTGCCCCTTGGCGATATCAAAATTTTTTATTTAAACACTAGTAATGGACGGACGGGCTACTATATTTAATTGATTTGACTTAAGGCTTCGTATTATTCAGAAAGCTATAGCAATTTTCTATACAACTCAAGGAAAGTACAATTATGGAATATTGACTATTTTGCTAACATCTTAACTCAAAACAAGTAAAGAAGCTTTTTCTTATTTGCCAATTATCCTGACGATAGCATCTTGAGAGACTTTAAAGGAAAAGTGCGCGGGGGATCAGTAAACTATGACCCGTCCTTCACGTAACACGTCAAATGAGCCTGCGCAGGAGGTCTCCAAAGATCTGCTTTGTAGCGCAGACCGAAACGCTCAATATATAACAAGAAACCTTAGTGTGAAACGCATAGATAGACACCTGAAAGGTTTTTCTAAAGCGGTGTGTGATATTGGGTCGTGAATCATGCGACAAACATCCCTATCGTGTGATATTCCTATTATTACTGCGTTCGTCAAGAAATTTCAACCATCAACATTTCAAGTTTTAGCTGGACGCAATGTCACGTGGTTACTATGTTATCCGAAACTTAAAGAATAAGCCCTAGGCGGAGTTTTCCTATTTGGCGTTAGACACGAAACAGGAAGAAAACCCAAACATTCACTTGTCTAGCTGAGAGCAAAACAGGCGCGAAACAAAACCAATAATTAATCGGTCTATTGATAACTAAGCATGGCGAATTTCCCCATTATTCTTCATAAAGGCTGCAGATTGTTTTGTTTTTCAGCTCGATGAATGGCCATTGTCAAAAACAGGGCCGCCAACAAAAAGAGAAGAAAACGTAGGTTCAGAATGCCCGTTAACATTCACCCACAACGAGATTTCCACAATCTGTCGGGAGACTCACGGCTTCATTTTTAATGAATTACCAGCGTAGCTTGATGGAGCGAATCTTGATCACCAAAACTTCACCAGAATCGTTGCTTAGTATGACAGGTGTAAATTCCCCACACACGGAGCATGCGTATTACAGCCTCTGGCCCCATAACGCAGTCAGTATGAATTATTGAGGGCACGTGTCTCCCCTTCTAAGGCGGCAGATGGCGCCAACAATTAAAAAACCCATACAGAGCGAAATTGATCTCGCAACCAGGGTCTGTAAATGAAAACTTCTCATCAATGACTGTTTTGCTTCACTTGTTAATAAATCCTTCAGAAGCGACCATAATAGAATCGCGAAAAACAATGAAAATTAAAATCCAAAAACTCGCGAATGGAATTCAGGATGAAAGTGATAAACATTAGAGGCACATCGATGTAAAATAATCTTTGGTGACTACAATATACATGACACGCCGACCAATTTTCACATCATGTTCTAAGAAAACGTTTTTGTAATTTTCTATGGGTACAAGCAATTTTTATTTGTCCTGTCATATCTTTGTCGTTTATAAAAAGCATTAATTAATAACGAAAATAATAGAAGACCCATTATCAGAGAAAATTACGACTTGGCGAAATTGATTATGGGAGAATATAGGTCATCTACAAATGTCGGCAGCATTTCGCCGGGGTGTTAAAACAAGGCGGAAATACGACGCAAGTAAATTGTAACCACGGTGGGTAATAGAGGAAATGACATTCGGTACTATATGCGCTTAAGACAACAACGTAATCGGTCTTTGCGCGCGGAAACCGTTCGAGTGCCATTCACGCGCTGTCATTGGTCATTATCTCGCGGCACCAGCCAATAGAGTTGAATTATTCTGTTTGACATGGCGCGTGTCAGAGCTCTTGACTGAATTAGCACAACAAACATACGGCGCGAGCCTGGCACAGGGTCAGAGTATAGCCGAGTATAAATTGAAGTGCGCCCGGCGCTAGCTCGATTCAAACATTGCATTGTATTGGGCGAGAGTCCGGCGTAAACAATGTCTGTGAAGGATATGCCAAAATGTTCAGCTTTTACAATCCCAACGACGACTATTTGCTATCCGCATCAAAGGACCGAGGAAGGAGGCTCGGATGTTTTGAGGCCCCCAGCTAAAATATCGCTGTTATCACCTGTATTGGGCCAAACCCGTCGACGAAGGGCAGCTACTAGCGCCAAGCAAAAAGAACCGGCCGTGGTAGCGCGACGGAACGCAAGGGAACGAAAGCGTGTTAAACTGGTCAACGACGGCTTTATGCGACTGCGAAAACACGTGCCTACGGACCCTAAAAACAAGAAACTGTCCAAAGTTAAAACGCTGCGTAGCGCAATCGACTACATACGGCACCTGCAACACGTTCTGGCGATGGCCAATAAACATCAAATGGAAACTGAACATGAAGCAGCTGGTACACAAACCCAGAGTTGGATAACCGCGTCTGACTTTGTAAGTACTACAATCACTGTATCACAGGCCAGTCATTGATCAATCGTACGTACGTGCGCCGCTTCAACTCCGTTCGCGCCGACACGCACTTCTTTCATTATCTTTCAAACAGCCCTAAAGACGGTCGGTTGTAAAATCGATTCTACGAGTCTTTCAGCGTATGTTTTAGGTTCATGGCCTTCTTTTGAGGGGAAAATTTACTTCTGTGGTAACGTGTGTATCGTCCGTAGCTGATAAAGTGTTTGTTAAGTTGGGCCGTCGTCAGGCGCAGTTCAATTCGACATCGTTAAAATAATTTGGCATCGCACTGAATCACCTAGCACTTGTTTCCGCTTCGGTTAAATTTAAAAATTTTATTTTGAAACACTTCAGTCTCCTACTTCTTCCTGACGGCTGAAATAATTCTGCGTATTCCTTATTTTTACCATTTTTAAACGGTGAACAATGTGTTTAGCATTATAAACGTTTTCTTTCATTGACAAGCTAGCGACATCTTTGGTCAGGAAGTTCAAGAAGGAATAACTTTCCGCCTTGAAACAGATGGGTATATCATCATTACAACATTGCTCGGCTTATTCTTCTTTTCCTAACGTATAAGTAGAGTAAAATAACAGCCATTTTCAGAACACAGTTAAGATCGAGCTTACAAGGACGTGTTTTGCCAGGGTAACGCCCTTACAATATGCGACATTTACTTCACGAAAGCGAGCACCTTCAGTCATTCAAATCGAGATCGATTTTAATAATTTTTGTACAACCTCTAACTTCGTCTTGTTTTCTTTTGTGCTTTAGAAAACTGAAGAGGAGTACAAAAACGAATTTGGCAAGACGGTTTTCGCCTGTGGTCAGCCAAGAGTGCGGCAGACATCCAATGTTTCCACATCATTCTGACGGAGAAGCGCTCAAACTATGATGGAAATTTTTTCGAGGAAAGACGCTTCATTCGTTGAGGATAAACAACTTACTGAATGTACCACAAGCTATTGGGAACAAGTGAGATAAAACCAGATTGCACGAAAACAAAGACTGGGAAAAGATATTTACTTCTACTGAATCAGGAAAAAAATCATATTTTCAGCGCGGATTTGTGAAACAACCGCCGAAGAGAAATTTGGTTGCTCGATAAACAGAACATACAGCCCGAAAATGGCCGAAAACAAATTTCAAAATACAATTATTTATACGCGGCCTTCGAGCGCAATTTAACATTAACCGTCGAGATAAGCTGTCAAAAACTCTCCGCTTATCTTGCTTTCTTGTTGGATCGCCGAATAAATTATTCCCTTTTGAAAAGACATTGAATTTTGTAGAAAAAAGAGAGTCATATATATGTAAAATAAATCAAATTGATCGTATTCTCTTACATTCTGCTTGTAAATTATTTTTCTTTTCAGAAAAATTCTCTTTCGACGAGAAAAAGAAGAGACTGTCACAAATTTAGAAAATCGATGATGGATAAGAAAATACATGAATAAAATTATCTATTAAAATAAGAACAGTATGCTTGTATCGAAAAATTTTGCTTTAGAATTTTTTTTAAAGAATATACTAGTTCAATGAATATTCTCCGCAGGCCGAAGAAACTTACGCCGTGGAGAATTAATTATTTATTGAAAGTGACTGGGTTGCTTAAAAGGAAACCGTTCATTTACATTTTCAAGCTGTACTCGATCTATAGAACAAAAAATTAAGCATTCATGAAAATTGGAAATTCATCAAAAGAGAGTTCTGAATACTTCACTTAAATGTCGGAAGCAAGAGAGAAGCCTTTTATCATGATTGCACGTTACCGCTAGATCTTACAATAGCACTAAAGAAAAAAATTTTTCTGCAATTGGATTTTGTCGTTGTTCTTCTCATTGTTGACGAAGTAAACTTCTTAGGTGTTACGCGCAGCGCGTAGTTTTCACATAATTTCCCGCAGGTCTTTCAATTCTCTCTTTACGCTTAGAATTTGTTTTGGTCTCGTGGGTTGTCAATTTCCGAGGCTTCCGATCGAATAAGACACGTGCCTCACACAAAACCACTGTCATAATTATCACTGGCTCTAATTACGCCTCGGCAAACAATACCATTGGCTCGCTAATACAATTTCATTGTGTACACGCTTGTATGTTCTGTAGCACTCATGCAAATAATCCGTTTCACCACCGCCGCAAGTTTCAATATCGAAGCGGATATGCGTCCGCACACTATTTAGACAAGCATTTTAAAATATGAGATCGTATCGTATTTTCCCTCCGAGCTTTATGTTTTGGACCTGTCAGTCGAACCAGTCACGCATGCGCTGCAAATTCGCGAAACACCAACTGGCGTTTTTGCATGTCGTTGAAAGTGCGTTTCTCTGTTTTTATGTTTTTAGTGTGAATGCTTTCCATCTAATGCTTCACAGAGCTGGGATGAGAATTAGTTTTCAGATTCAGGAAGTACCAAGAAAAGTTTCACGCATCAGTTCAGGGAAATTAATTGCTTCAGAAAGGTTCCTTCATGCTAATGAGGTGGCAGGTGTTTTTATCGTTTTCGTGAAAGGAGAGAGTCTCACAGGTATTATCCAAGAGAATAGGGAATTCCTCCCTTCCGATTTATTCGAACTGATTCTACTTCGTCGCCGAATGAAAAATTTCGCCCCTAAACAAAAAGATAACGGCGCACAGTCTTCCAAAACTGAAAAAATAGCAAGAATACCGTAAAAAAAATAGATTTCTGGCAAGAGATTTAAAGCGAGTTACCAACAAGACACAATTTAGCCGAAGAAGACAGGAAAACTTAATTAGGCGCGTCTGTGAGAAAACAAAATCAATAACAATCGTTTTCAAGTTTGAAATAGAGCGCCTTAAAATTTTCTACCAAATAAACAAGGCTGCGTTCGATAATAATAATAATAAAAAAAGAACACTCCTTTGCTACATCTTTCTTATGCCAGATTGAAGATCTTATTGTAAGAGTTTTAAGCAGCGACACACCCAATAAAGCGATGAAATTTCAGCCAAGCGCTTCAAAAAATTCATACTTGAGCGATCAAAAAATCAAGTGAGAAAAAAATTTAATAGCGCGGCGAGGAAGATACAAATGGGGGTTCATTGAGAAACAAGGCACTAGAGAAGCTAAATCCATTAATTGCACGCAACCACAGTGCGGAATAACGAAGCAAGTTCAGAACTTGTTTTGTAATGTGCTTACGAAATACTAAGACGGAGATATAACTGATAATGGAAAAAAAAATAACAAAATTTTAAATTGAAAATACTAGAAGTTCATTCGAAATGGTTTGAGACGTCACTCCGCACTTTCAAAGAAATAAGCAATCACCTCGCATGAAGCTTTCACAGGAAACCGGCGACTTGAGATAAGGACATGCTTTTTGTGTGCGAACTAATGGGTGAAACGCTAAAGACACTTCCAAAGTGTGTCCTGTTCAATATCTCGGAAAGATCTAGCGATTAAACACTGCTTGCGGTTTGATCATTAAGAAATGAAAAGAAAAGATTTTGCCCTGAGAAAACACAATTTCCAAGTTAGTTAAAAAAACGTCATAATATAATGACTTTTCGTACAATGAAGACACCATTTTCAAAAAGGAGGAACCATGAACAATTTAAATGCAACAACTTGAAATACACGCAGTGATTAAAAGCACATATCGCAACTAATACAAAGTAAGACTTGGTGATTTTCCTTAGCTTGGGATTTGCCAACGAACTCAAGTGTCCGGGCGTAAAAAATTTAAGGCTGAGAGATCAAAGCAAATTTTACAGAATTATTTTTAAATGGGAGCATAGGATTTGACATTGTCTTGTCGAGTCCTAGTTCAAGGTTAATTTTTTAGTCAAAACTGATTTTATTTCCCAAGGCGAGAACTGTGGGATACGTAATATCGCACGTCCTGTCGGGAAATTAGGATAATATCGCCCAGCGGGTCAAAACATTCTGCTTGGCTATGGCGCAATAGGTTAATGCAGTTTTGTGCTGTCACATAGAAGAAAAAAAGATCATACGATCGTCGCGTTGTAGACTCAGTTTATGCGGAGTCATGGACGAGGTTACTTCCCACACAACTACGTATGAGCAAAATCGCTTACCCCGCAAATGCGCAAAATCACAATTATCGCAGTAAATAATTTGTCGTTTTGCGGCCTGTTTATTTAGCAAAAATGATATTAAGATGATCGTAGAAACGAAAAGATTCTATATTATGAAATTGTTAATTCTGGAAATTAAAGCAAACGAAGCTTCGAAGAAGAACATTACAAGTTTGTAGATGTGTGCATGTTAATTGAATTAGGTTTTCTTGAATTATGAATGCGAATAGTCGCTCGAAAGAGTTGTTGCTTATGAAATCTTTATATAAGTGAAGAATGTTCCTTGCAAGAGAACTTTTTGAATCCAAATTAATTACTTAGATAGCCGCTTTTGGATCTCCTTCGACGCGAAATGAGCCCAATACATGAATATCTCTTTTCTTTAAAAAAAAAAATGCTGCTACTTTCAAAATCATATTATGAGGAGAACATTTCCTTTGGCGGTTTCTCACCACCAAACTGAACATTTCGTTTATGTGTTTTTCTCTTTCATTTTTTGCAAAGCATTTCCTATTTCGATGTTAACTCTCAGCCATAATTTTAACGCTTAAGAATAATTTACCCATCAAGTCAAAGTACATTCTGTAGGTATTTTCAATGTTTGTTTCTTGTGGTGTTGCGCGTGCTAGCGAGTTGGAACACTAGCTCCCAAGTAATTTAGCGCTGGAAGTTTAAAATACCGACAAAGCCAGCTTTTATTCGCGAAAGATCTCAGTTCCTTCTTCGCCTTTGTTTGACTTCATGTGGCGAACAGTGCAAAAGTTTATACAAATCTACGCTCTTTAGAGAATCTAATATTCATACTTTTGAAAAAAAAAATGGAACCGACCCAGAATACGCAAAAGAACACTTTATTGTAATTTCCAACACTTTTGTTTTATCATTACTTAATTTTCGCGAATGGTAACTTTAACATAAACGTTTTATTACAAAATATAGCCATATGTCGTTTTGTTTGTTTTGGGAAATGTACTATCGAGCATCTTTCATTTTGTTCTGAAATCTGTAGTGTAAACTTGGCCACGAAAAGAATTTGGGGCGTTTCTCATTGTACCCGTTTGCACGTGTCATCATCACATGACACAATAACGCACTTAAGGTGAATAATTGACTTTGTAACGGAGGAAAACTAGTTAATTTACTGCGCTCACTTCTCAAAACGCTTAGCGCTGTCCAGTGCCGAAAATTCTTCACAAGAAGCTTACAAGTCACGAAATATGAAGTTCGTGGAATTGACATATCTGATCTTTGAGGAACCAGAATGTTTATGGTATCATTGATTAAGGCGAAACAATACAAGGTCAAAAAACAAAGAGCAACGAAAATGAATACAAAAATTTGAGATCAATGATGAGATTAAAGAAACAAGAGAGCGCAAGAGAAACACAAGATCGTCCACAAAAGGATTTAACAGACATGGCACCAGTGACGAAAAGATTACTAAACATAAGGATTACAACACAAAGGACAGGTCCAAAGATGAAAGGAATGGAAAGAAAGGAACGTAAAAAGAGACTGTTCCAAATCCTCACCTTTGAATAAAAAGGCTAAACTTAGATCAAATCATTGTCCGCTGGCTAAACGTTTGGGTGACAACGTATCCTTTCCTTTCACTAACCAAAACAATGTTTAGAAAAACCTGCTAAATTAAGGATAACTTTTTGCAAAATAAGCCTCTCTAATCAAAGGATTTAAATCTGTTACCATCACCGATGCGTTATGTCAGGCTCTTTAAAACCATGCTACCCATCACGAGGAACAATTTACATCAATATTCACATAACCAACTTTGGGCATTCATTGAAAGACTATATTCATTCCACGGATCGATTTTGAGTCTTCACAATTTTGAAAAACGCTTTTCAATCGAAAAAAAAAAATTAATAAATTGCACACAAAATGAGTTTAACGTGTGTCTTAAGGACATTGTTTTATGTCTTCTCGGCTAATTAACGGCCAAGATCTACATTGAAAAAGGCATATTTTCTATCCGTAGCTTAGGGATTCAGCAGAAAGGACCGGGGTTCTATTTCCTTTCTTCCATTCGTGTGGGATTTATTAATTAAAATCTTTTTTTTCTAACTCACATGGGTGTCATTTCCAAAAGAGGTTCAAAAGGATAAAGAAATACAATGAGGCATATTCACACTGAAAAAGAATTATGATCCCAAAGGTTTTTGAAGAAATTTATAGAAATGAAAAGCCGTTTTTTCCGTCTGTTGTACGTGACTTGTTCCTTTATTCATGAGGCGAAACACGTTCAAAAGACAAATTTCTAATAAACCCCGACGACTCGATCAGAAAAGGTTAATGCTTCATAAAACAGGAAATTGAAAAGTCCATAATTTCCGATTGATTTATTAAACAGAAATCTCGAGAAGAAGAGTGTCTCTGCAGCTCAAAATACCTGCTACTACTTAGCTACAGGTCTTAACAGTTGTAATCCAGAAAAAATGTTAGACATGCAGTTCTACTTTAATTTTTCGTTCTTCAGTTAGCATACATAAGGTTCAACAAAAAGTCCTTTTATGCCACGCGCTTTGAAAAAAGCCTAAAACTGTGCTTCACACGTGACCTTTACACATCCAAACAATAACAAATATAAGGGCGACATAACCCAACTATGCGAGAACAAGAGTGAAACAAAGCTCGTCCGCAACACACGTGTTACAAGTCAAACGCAACAATTAAAACATATGTTAATCCGTGTATTCACCACTTTTGTTGTAAACTTCTGCGATTGGTCGCGTTAATCACTGGAGGTAAACAAGATATCTAATTTAGAAGATCGAAGAAAAAAGTATTGTCTGAGTTTTCGCGGTGCTAAGCGCTTGGTTTTCGAGCGTAATTGATAATGAAAGTTGCTGTAAGGGCCCATTACACACATGAGTGATCACGCAGATCGACATCTGTCAGTCATTGTCTGCACCCTACACTGTAATGGCTTCCTATCGCGAGAGAACCCTTGACTATTGTAAATACAGGTAATGGAAAGTTCCTTGGTCAGTGCGGCACGCTTCGCGACCGATTCATCCGCCCAATATGTGGTAACTACCTGCCTAACATCTGATATTTACACATAGGAAACGCTTCATCCCTCCAATATGGTGTGTATCGGGTGAACTTTCTTACTTAAGACGCATATTTCATTCAACAGCCGGCATTTTAATATAGGACCTGGTATCTCTCGTCAGCTCGAGGTCTTTCCTCAAGAGTCGAAGATTGTGGTCCAATACAAGAAAGCCAAAATATAAACAAAGCCACGAGCCGTACTTCGTTTTCTTTAAATGTTTACTCAGCTAATTAAAGTTGAGATATGCAAGATACCAGGACGACTTCTTTTGGCCAAACTAGCCGATAGGTGTCTTATTGTGAACACTAATGAATGAATAACACACGGGAAAGGAGAACACACTTTGTACCAAGGGATCGTTATATTAAATACTGCACTTTGATTTCGTGAGCTGAAATGAATTCATATCACGAAACGACTATTAAGGTTTGCACACAAACCCAACAGTTAATTTCCTTTCCGGCACATCCTCAGTTTCCCTGCCGACTTAAAACCATAATAAAAGGGACGTAAATGAGCTCAGGGGGAAAAAATTGAATAGAGTGAAGACTGCAGGCCATATTAGATTTGGAGTTTTTGTTATTTGAGCTGCTGGAGACCGGTGATTTCAATGTTCTTTGGTGTTCGATAAAGGCACGCTTAACGGTTAAACACGTACGAATGACACGCGAAAGGATAATATCCACTATGATATAACATTACAAAGCCAATTTGGAATTTGAGCCAGTAGCAGATCTTGACGTACAATAATACTCCCGGTAATGCAGTCGAATTTCTGCAATGCTGAAAAAATTTAAGAAGAGTGTTAACCACTAAGTGGCACCAAGGGATCAAACATCTACACCAACAACAGCGTCACTCAGCAACTTAAAAAGTCGATAAGGTTAATTACATCCGGCAATTAGCAGTAACGAACAAAGGGGCCTTCTAAAACATAGGAAGAATTTGAATGGAAAATGCTGTTAGAGAATCTTTGAAAAAGCTTTCACTAAGTGTGGGTTTTGCGGTAAATCTTAGATGTAGTACAATACATCTTCCACGATTACGTTTCTAAAAGTCCTAAACTCAAGTCCTCGTGAAAAGTACTTCCATCTTTCCGTCAATTGATATAGCGCATTTCATTTCCCTTCCTTGGGAGACTGCTTCTCAAACAACGTTTCAATATATTACTCTTCATCGAATTCTGCGATGATAATGGTTTTTCCAGAATTCTATTTCAGGCTTACGAACTTGAAATTTTTGTCGAGGACTCTTGGACAATTTAGCAAAGATAACGCAAATCTTGCGAAGAGTTTTGCTCGAGGAATCACCTGTCGCTAATCGGAAGGAAAAATCGTGTGTAGACTACCTTATCTCGACGAAAATCCCTTCTCTATCAGAATAAACGTAGTTTTTATGGTAAGGAGGGTAATACAACCTCGAGACGAGTTGGTCATCACCCTCCTGATCTATGCTGAGGTAAAACATACAAGGAAATACCAGCCTCGTTTATTAATTGTAAGTGGCCGCGTGGCTGGCAAAGAAGGAGAGCAAGCACAAGAGTGTAAAGAGACAAATAATTCGTGCAGAAGAACCTAGTTACTGTTGCATGGAAAACATAAATTACAATATTTTGATGTATCACTGCTGTATACTACAGCACCAAACCATCTCAGGTGTCACAGGTTTTCATTTAGGTCAGTGCTCCTGTCGTGGTGTTTCAGCCACATATGATTCTCTACTTTGCACATGCGTGCTCCAATACGGAAATACCAAACTTGCTTAAAAACCGGATTTCGAAGGGGTTAACTCCCACAAGCTGTGACATGCTAGAGCATAATCATTTCACCATTTGAAGGGCTTCGCTTGCAACCAAGGTGTAACTAAAGTAATTCATACTTCAACAACCGCAGATGTTATTACTATGAGGACCCTTTTGTGCGTCATCTCGTTTGATTAGAAACACAAAGTAAGCAGATCGTCTTCAGAAACCTCATTTATATCTTTAAACTGCAAAAAGAATAAAGAACAATTCCAAGAAGGAAAGTAGAACAATGAAGAAGAATAATGAAGAACAATTTCGAAAAAACAGTAAACCTCGAAGACTTTACATAGAAGTCAAGCTTCTTAAAAGAAAAACGTCTTTTCGATTCAGTTCCTGTGGTCCATTAGTATTCAAGCACCCAAATTATTTACATAAACAAAGGTCTCAAATGTTTCCCATTAATTGTCTTATGATGATGTTAGGGGTGTCTTATTGCACTTGTCGGAATTTTGATTGTCATTGACCATCCATGTATGGAACCCAGTTCTTCCTCTTTACTACGGTTACATTGAAAACTAAATGAAATCAGTTGTAACGGTTGGATCAGCGCCATTGAGGGATGGCCAAGAGATGAACAAAAAAAAAAAACAGAAATCACGGACACGCTCGTATGGTCAATTGTAGCCCTAGATCTGTATAGATTAGATGTACTAGCTATTAATTTTAAGGGTCATTTCATCTCAATAGTTAGTGTAATAACGTTCTATGGAATCCATGTTAAACCGTTTTGGGGTGACCCTTACACAGATTGAAACATATCTATAGGTAGTTGTAGTTGGACTTTCGGCTTGATCAATGGATAATGGTAATTACTTTCTGTTGTACTATTCGTGAAAGAAACTCGTCCCCAACCTCAAATTCACGCCAGACGCGGTCTTAAATATTCTGCCAAAATCATGGCACATTGCACTGTACACAGAACTTAACCAATGGTGAGCAAAAGCGAAGCAATCCCTTTCAATCGAACACAGTATCAAGTGTGGCCGCCCTAAAGCTTGGTTGTCTCTTTTCTCTAAAAGGGGACAATGCTGAGCCATATGGAACAAACAAGACGCCGCTGACCGCCGGTGATATTTCAAGAGGAGCCGTTGTAAGAACCGGTTTTTCGTTTCACTCGAGGAGGGAAGAGTGTAACAGCTCACAAAGCAGTGACAATAATGTGAATGTTTGAAGGGAAGTTAATAGACGCCATGATGTTGACGGTTGACGCTTTCATACAGTTCAAACCAGCCATTAAATATGGCCAGGGAACTACTGGAGTGTAAGCAAGCTATACTACCAGGTCCCCAAGTTCCCTCTCGGCGGAGTGGTTTGGTTTAGCTCACTTATCACTTTGAACTGGTTTAAGTGTGTGGAGAACGCTCCGTGTGGGTCCCGAAAAAGCGATACCACGGCTCACCTTAGGTGGAGCCGATTGGAAGCCTGAAGAAGTGGAAAATTGTAGACCATTCATGGGAAAATGTTAAGCGAGCGGCGCTGTTTAAAACCGTAAGATAGAGGCATGCTGTGAAAAGTTCTGTCAAAAAAGATTCTACAAATGAAATCGAAAATTAACAACCGCCTAATGAAATACTTAACTAGTGACATAGTAAACCTCTAGAAACCCCTCTATACAAAATCAAACTCGAACAGGGGACACTATACATTAGTGCTGAAAGAGAAAAACGCTCCTTCCACGCCGACTAATGAAAGCAGTCGAATTCCAAGTGCGACATACTTCAGAGGGCTGACTTCTGGAGACAAATAGGAAAAAGGCATGTTTCGTGGAGAAAATGAAAGAATTCCTCAAACTTCAACGGGCAGGCAAAATGGACGAAAAAGCGATCCACGTGAAGTTTACAAAGAGAAGACAAGGAGACCAAACTGAGGCGTGTCGAATTCAATGTAATGAAAGTCCCTAAATCAGAGCAGATTTGCTATTTGTTAAGTAATTTTTCAGCGAAAAAAACCGAAAAAGCAAAAAAAGATTAGTAGTTGCAGGCAAGGACGAAAAAATCTGGGTAAATTTTCCAAGTGGAGTGCTGCAGAGTAGGAGACGTCACTAAAGACGAATCGCTCAACTTTATTCTTTTGCATATTCCGAACGCAACATTTGACATCGGATCAAGACTTTTGTATTACATTGCAATATGACGATTTGTAGAAATCGCGCAAATAAAGTAACAGTTCTAAAGAAATAATTCAATACGCCTCTGAGTTACAATTTCGAAACTTTTGAGACACTACCACATGTATTTGTGCGAATACTTTTAGGGCCGCCGCTGGCTTGTTATTGAAAAACCTTAAAATAACACCACAAGATAGGAAGAAAATTCTTCAGAATGCAACAAGTTAAAATATTATATTCAGAATAAAAAGCTCAGCTATAGAAGCTGAAGAACCCGTTCTACAGCATCCTATAATATTATGGTGCGAGCAAGTTGCTTATTTTCAGTTGGCCATGAACAGTTTCTTCCCGCCACAATTTATGTTTAAAAAATCCGACCTTTCCTTCTTTCTTTTGGTTTGTTCAACAACAAACAGACTAGAGAAAGGGGACCAAAAAGATTTTTGGCTGACTCCTCAAGCGTTTCAATCGTTTTTGGGTTTCAGAGGCATTTAATGTCTTCTGTCATTAAAACCAACGTAGATGCGGGGTATCTTCTGGAGTGGGTTCTGTCGGTTTCTGATCAGTCTGATCGTCCTTTGGTGTATCTTTGGGAAATAAATCAGGAAACTTAAACGTCCCTGAAGCCTGGAATAAAATGAAACAAAAGGAGAGCGCTTGAACACAGACCCATCATTGTATGGTGTAAAAAAATGATGAACAGGTCAAAGATAATCATGAAGCTTTCCAAGAGAGAGGGTAAAAAAAGTTCCACTTTCAGTCATTAATAAAAATACAACTCCTTAATGTTAGGAAAAAATAGGTAGTTAAAGACCGCATGTGGCTGTTGATAAAGCACAACTTTTATAGTATTGAAAAGAACTGGAGGTTGTGTAATGATGCTAGAAGGTAGTTTTACAGAAGATTTGTCTCATATGCAAAACAGAAAACCTGCCGCACCCCACATATTTAGGAGTATCCTGTTCCACAAGAAAAAGATGGTTCAATGATGTGGTGACTAATTGACACCCAACCGATAATTAAACTGTAAAAAAAATAATCATATCAGCAATAATGATAATAATAATGATATCAACAGTAATAGTGATGATAATTTATAGGGACTAGATGAAGAACCTCGCTGTTTCTCTATCAGTCTATCCTCTAGGCTCCAACAACAATTAAACTATGCTTCCTTCAGTTCTCCCTGTTAATTATAAATTATTTTCTTAGTTCATTGCAATTCCACTTTTGTGAGACTTAAGTTCCATAGAACAAGGCATTCTGCGCTGTAGGATATCCCGCCATTCCACCTTTTCATCATTCACACTGTTGAGGTCAAGGTATAGTATTTGGGACCTTGCTCGCTTCGCAAATTTTGCGGCTCTTTTGGGCACAAGTGCTCTCTAATCGAATAAATAAAATTTCTTTAAAGTTTCCACGATGTGCAAATCAAACCTATTTATATATTTCTTCAAGGAAAAGTCTTGTTTCAATTATATGAGACGCCTCTCAGTGTAATATTTTTTCAGAAGTTTATCATCTTTTTTTTTAGTGTCACGGCAAGAAGTGAAAATAACTATAATTTTGGATCTATTGGGCATAATTCGCTGATTCAAACGTTAAATCTTCTCTCCTCAAAGAAAAAAATATCCTCTAAGTTTTCATGATGCGCCGATCACACCTTAAAGATATTTCTACAGGAAAAGTTTTGTTTTTTCATGCACCATCCTGAAATGATTTTGAGATGTTTAACATCTTCTGTAGAATTCTGAAACAAACAGTAAGTCGCAACGGGAAACATCGGGTCGGAGAATTGGGCCAAGATCGGAATTCTATTGTTACCATCACCCATCTGGATGACATATGGGGCTTTGCCTCCTACATATAGGAGGCAGTAACCACCGGGTCAAATACAAGAGTTTGGGGAGAGGTCATAAATATAGTGATAAAAATAGAACTTTCCACTCTATATTACACTCTCTTGACTTTTCACTGGTGTTTCTGGCCGTTTTCCCTCGCCAGTTATATCCGGAGTAGGCTGCCATTCCAATACATCCAACATCCAATGCAGTTTACAGAACAATGACCATTAGGTCACCTCCTCCTTCCACCAAATGAAACTTCCCTGAGAATTTATTGTACTAAACCGTTTCTCTTTCAGATCAATTTGAGTTGCCATGACATTTCGCTAGTACAAATTACTTCTCCAGGGATTGGGACGGCCGTGCGCCAGGCGTGTATGGTGCATAAGAAAACGAAATGGCGTGTATGGTGCATAAGAAAACGAAATGGCGTACAAAAAAACCAAACACTCATGAGGCCTAAAATGCACCCGAGCCGAATAATTCTAAGGCTAGTTTTGTGACTATTAATCTTAAGAGTCCAGAGTCGAGTTAGTGACTATCATTCAAATCGTTTTCCCGTTTTTTTCTGAGTAAGCAATGTAAGACAGAGCTCCAACAGAGCTGTAACTAATTTGGTCGCCATGGCGAGTGAAATATATTTTGCGACTAAATTTCGCCGAAAGTCGTCAATTGGTGACCACCAGATAAAAAAAAAAAAGAAAAAAAAGAGAAAAACCATCTCCGTCTCTCTCTTTTTCTCTCTCGCCGCCCCATAACTTCCAGTGCGCAAACACCTTAAATGGGCGGTGATCAAGTCGAAATGATTTCGTTGAGATAAACTTAATTTTACATTACGTGCAGCATTTTGCGTAACCATCAACTCTGCATTAAGAAGTATGGTTACTAACTGGCAAGTGATTTAAGACTCTCTTCGCTCTCTTTCTCTTGACCGTTGGCACAATCTTTCAATCGGCAAGCAAGCAAACGAAAGTGTTGTGAACGCATCGTTGGGCTCACTAGACAATCATGTGGTGCAACATGAATCGTCCTCTCACTAATACGAGGGTTTTTTTAAAATTTATTTTCTTTTTTTGGGAGGGGGGGGGGGAGGAGGGGGGGCGACTAAATTTTTTTGATGGGGAGACCATTTTCCAATTGGAGCCCTGGACACTGCATAATAGTGCAATGATTGCTTTTCACCTAAAGGGGACAGGTGTTTAGTTTTTTCGACTGTAGCAGCCTCTGAATTAAATAATTTCATGAAAATGTAAACTGCAAGGAACTGCAGAACAGATACACACTATCTGAAGTGACAACGAAAAGACCCATATGTATTTTCTTCCAGCCCACCCCATCATTGTAATGCAATGGGCCATGCTACTTAGAAATGGCCCATGAATTTTGAAGACCAGAGTCCATAGGCCCATTTGCCTGATTTGCCCTCCCAATCTCTAACTTCTCTTGCAAGATCTTCTGATAGAGAGAGGCATTGTGAGAGAAAAGCATCTAACCCATGTAAAGGAACCCAATGCCTCACCCTTGGACACAGATTTTCCGAACTGTTGCAAGTTAGTATCACAAAAGATCTCATTCACAACAAATAGGATTTGTATCTGTGCATTTCTAATAAAATATCTACCTACCAGAACTACATATGCTACTTTATAATCTGGATATTTTCTCTTTGTAATCTTCCTGTTGATGAGTAATGCTTTAGTCTTTCCTGCAAAAAAAATTAAAAAAAGAATTTAAAAAAAAAAACACTTAGGCCCAGTCAAGAGAGAGACAAGAAGTAAATGTTCTAGCATTGGAAGGAACTAAGGAAAAAGGCAAAACTTAAATATTCACACAAACTAAACTATGTCTGTTTGAAATTTTTATGAAACCTTGCAATGACTTAGTTGTTCCTTTCTATAATCAGTTCAAGGGACTTGCCCTAGACACTAATTTCACTTGCTGGATAACAAAAAAAAATTCCCTTGCTGGATCTGACCACCCACTCTCCATAATCTTGAATGTATATGTTTTTCTTTTTGCATATTAGATCTTTTCAATATTCTGCTGACATGAAAAAATGGCCTTCTTAAAGGTGCACAGTCAATCTTGCAGCTGAAAATTGATAAAATCCTGAATCTGTCTATTTTAGATGAAATTGATCCCTTAAATTTTTATCTTTATTTCTTCTATTTTACTACACATAGATTTAAGATTAAACAAATAAACTGTGCACCTATAGCCTCAAAATATTGCATAGAGTAGATGCGTACACAATATATTCCTTCTGCAAATGGAATTTGGTATATTTTTTGAGTTTTTTTCATTTCCAGTTTTAAGCCCAGTTCTCTCATATTGAGCATTTACTTCAAAACTGCTGACACAAGAAGCTTTTAGATGGTATACAATATCACTTCAAGGGGTCAGTATTTGTAGATTTCTTTTAAAACTGCTGTTTGCATTAGGTAGGAAAAGAAAAGTTACCGATAAAGTCACCTTTAGCTTCTTCCATTAGGGGTCAAACCAGCATCTTTTTATAAAATGTCAATCCTATCTAATAAGATTTCAATCATCTCCATTTTCCATATGATCACTCAAACAGTTAAAAGAGTAGATCCATGGCTATGCATGTCATTTTTAGTTACCTTCATGACAGCTAAATACATGTATATACACTGATGATGTTACTACTTATTAGAAAGAAGTAAAGTTACTAAGAAATGAGCAGAGCCTTTTCTTGCACTTTGACATTTGATCAGGGTAAAGTGGTCACCACAAATTATTCTGTCCTGATGTTGGATGTTGATAGGAGACAACATGGTTCAGTGGTTGTGGAGCTAGGCCTCTTATATGTTTTCACTTGATTTGAATGATTTTTGAATGAACAGTTAAGATCATTCAAGAAAGATGTTTTTTGTTTTGTCACAAGCATGGGACAAAGAAAAGTCTCCATGAGGAATCAAAGCACAGACCTTCAGATTCAGTTAAGATCATTATCGTTATTGTTGTACATAGAATTTTAATATCACTTTGACTATCTACAGGTATGAAATAACATTTGCAAATAATTTCATCTCACCGTGCTGTATTCTGGTGTTCACCCTGGCAACATCAAGTTTGTAAATGCTGGTAAGGTAGTTTTTAATATCCAACTTTGACATGCTGCAAGTACAAAGAAAAATTAGACAATTGATTTGATAAAAGGAACAAGGTCCAGAACAGGACCAGTGGCCTCTGTTGTTGTCAAGTGACCAAAAAAACATGTCTTTTTAAGGTGCAAACATGATATGTTTAGTGTTCAAACAATTTGAATTTTTAAATAATTGCACAAACTTTGGGGGAGAAGTTTAAAACATAATATATTTCAAAATAAATAAAATGGTTAAGGCACTACAGTATCCACTATATGTGAGTGAAAAGGATTGGAACTTTACGAAGAAAAGTACTCTCAATGTTTATCTAAAGTGGAGAAAATTTCAGCTTGTGTTAACAATGTGTGTTTCATTGAATTTGTGAAAATTGAAACTGACAAAAATGACTATATTTGATTGGCTGCTTAATATAAGTTAATTATGCAGTTATTCAACATTGTGACAAAAAAATATATTGTTTCAGCTGACTCTAAAATCTATGCAAAATAGTTTGCAAAGATCCTGGAAATGAAAATTCCTCAAATAGACTTTGTGTATCAATTCTTCACAAAACTTGCATAAATGCCCTATAAAATAATATTGTGTAACCTTCTGAAACATGTTATACTAACACCCAAGACTAAAAAGTTTTTCTGCCACATTCATGCTCACAGGAAGCCTTAACCCTTTAACTTCCAGACGTGATTAACATGTACACTTGTAACTTCTCAGGTAATAATAATACTCAAATTTATCAGGTAGAAGTTGTTATCTTGATCTCACACCAAATTCTTTAGACTAATTTACAAGGAAATCAGTAGCAGCTACAGGGGAGAATTGACAATCAGATCCTGGGATTTAGAGGGCTAAAGGAAGCTCCAACCCTATGAGACAGAGTAAACACCCGCACAATGAGATTACTGCATCTAAATATGGTGATTCTTCCATTTTGTTTACTTAAATATCACTGAATGGATATTTAAAATAAGTGGGACATAAGGGAAGACAGTCATCATTGCCGATCAGAGGAGTGGTTTTCTTTTTAAAAAAAATTACTGTAAAAGAAAGTGCTGAAAAATTAATGATTCTTGAAGATATGGAGTATCTTGATACAAAATCATTCGGGAGTTCTATCGTATAAAACGACGCTGCATGTTGGACTTTAAATATAATTTTGCACGAAAGATTGGGAAATCATCAGTGTGCGACACAAAATCTTGACACTAAATGCATGTTAGTGACGGGTGCCTAAAGCCCAGTTTAAGGCCAGTATCACTGCGAAGAAGCTGTCGAGTTAAAATTTCACCACTTGTGTGTGTTCAAATATTCAAAACGCATTCATTTCTCGATTGTTCAAACTCGTTAATTCAACTATTCTGCTATCCCAAGGAATAACAAAAGACAAATTCCAACTTAGCTCTCGATAAGGTAATTGAAAGACAAGAAAAAGTTCTTTTTCGAGTTTCGACATCATCCGACGAGTCTATACTTAGGACTGTTCACTTGCGCTGAAATGATAGATGTTCCGATTTTAGAATTCTTTACTTACTCCATAGGAACATGGAACTGGACTGTATTTTCAGGGAGCTCCCTTCCCGGTCTAACCAACTTCATGTACCAATTACAAAGAAAAATTCGAGCTTGCAACCTTGGATGTCTCACCACATGTCGGTACGCCATCTTAGATACGCAATGAGAGAGGAACTGGGGCGTAGGAGAAAGTTTTATGGGAAGGGAGGGTGAGTCCAGATAGGCTGTTAGGTTTCTTTCCACGTCTAAGACATGGAGATAGTCAGCCGTTTTCCGAGATGCCGAAAGGCTTTGTTTTGAAACAAGGCTTAGTGCGAGATTTTGATAAGCAAACGATTAGTCATTCGCGTCCAGATGGAACTTAAGACATTTTTTGCACTTGACTACATTTTAAGGGGAAGGACTCAGTTCTGGAACTCGAATATATTCAAAACTGACGTTGAATTTTACAGTAGACAAAGTCTAAAGAAGAGAAAACAACGCATAGTACACCAGGATTAAGTACTTCTCGAAAGACTTGTTTCTTGTCATGTTTGCCGGTCTTCTTAATGGTTTGAGGAAACCATGTCACGGTTCGTGGAACTGGAAATTCAAACTTTCAAATAATCCCAAAATTGGTAATTTTTTGGAGTCCACCTTACTTTTCTCCATCCTATGTCATCCTTTTGTTTTGGGGTTATCATCTCCCCTTTGACTATTTTCTACACTCTTAGTATCATTTTCAAGTTTCATTCTGATTTACGACGATTTTGAATGCGGAAACAGCTGAAATAATCTGAACACCGGAACAAAGAAAGAGCAGTATCTTGCCCGGGGCTCACATGTTTTCTCTTTGTGTCTTCTCTTTTTCATGAATAGCTGGAACAAATATGAAACTTATTCCACTCGCCGAAAAAAAAATCCTCTCATAAATTATTGAGAGTGCCCGACCGTAGGTGTTCGTGAAGGGGGCGGAATTTACAGCTCTCAAAGGGGGCTGCTGATTTTTCAAATTTGTCATTTTGAAAAGAACACAGTGCTATGAAGTAATTTATGTGTTTCTTTATTTCGTAAATGAAAAAAATTAAAGGAAAAAGGAACCATAACAAAAGCATAAAACGATGGAACGATGCAAAAATTTCGACATTCCAGGTTTCAGTAACAATATAAATCACTTATGAAGTATGAAACAGATGGTTATTAATCGTTGTGAAAGTAAGTGATTCTAAGTGCAGCCCTCATTCGGGGGCGGTGTACTTTCAGTTCATCCTGTGTGCGTGTGCTATCGTGAAACCATTGAACAGCCTTCCGACGCTTAAACAATTTACGCCATTTCAGCTGTCAGAGCATAATTAGGATTTAAGGAAGAAAAGCCACAGATGAAACATTATTATCCACGTGCACTCAAACTAGAGAGTTAAGGTCAAGCTTTCGTGACAAAGAGACGAGCCAAAGAGGACATCAATTCTCAACCAGTGTAAGTAGATTTAGATTAACAATTTTAACCTGTTGCAGTAAATTTTCTCTTGAGCAACCCTGCTATATTTTGCCAAATATAATGTATACCTCGTGAAATCGTTCCACTCAGACACCCAATTATTTCTCTTGAGCTTAAGAGAAATCTATTTCTCACATAGCTCTTGTAAGCCAACTCACAGGGTTGCTATTGCTGATGTAAAGAGACGTATGCGGTTTTTTTACACTTCTTCTGAGTCGGCTCCTCTGAAAATTGTAAAAACCTCATATTTGCAATAGTATTTCATTTATTCTGCTACACAGTTGTTCACTTTGCTATAGAATTATTGTAAATTTCTCTTATGCATTTCTATCTTCGTTCATAAATTGATTTCATTTATTGATTTGGGGGCAAATTCAAGAAACTCGATCCTTCTCTAATGAGGAAATTTGATTTCCTTGTTTGTGAAGAAAAGAAAACTTTTCAGACTGTGAATCCAATTTTCCTGGCTTATCAATAAATCAGTAAAGACGTTTCCAGAAAAAGCCAACAAATTAATGTTATGACAGGGAATCGTAGGAGTCAATTTCGTAACATAGAATTTCACTTTATTGGACGAGGCAAATAGTTAATTTCGCTTGCAAAATAAGATAAATATTGAAATCTACCTCTAGTCACAAATTTTGGTATCAAAAGTAATTTCGTGGTTTTCGTCAACCTTTGACCATGGTTTCCCTGTTTTGCATACATCGCACTTTTAATATGGGAACACAAGTTTACACGGTACGCTTGTGGTGACGCACTTGTCTTAAGTATACATGTGGCCTAAGCTCACTCGAAAAACAAAAATGCCGGACTTCGTTTGCATTTCGACGATCTTGTGAAGCTGCATTTAAAATCTGAACGTGGAAAAGGATATTACCCTTCCCTGCTCTGTTCTTTCGCGGATTTGCTGATGTTAGTAATCCATATGTACATGAGTCATTTAGCCTGAGATCTTTCTAAGGCTTGGGGGAGTGTCTGTTGATCACTCCATTATTACACTCCATATATATCAGCCTGTCAAATATTCTCCCACAAAGTAATTTGCAAAGCCAGGGGTAATTTATTGAGAAGGTATGTCAAATCCCGTTCGCATACTCTTGCTAATCTAGTGTTCCTGGTGGGTTTTTGAGTTTAGCAACTTCATAACCCTGTGGAGACTCAGCAAGCTTGTGGTTCACTCACGACAGGGATTGATGAGTTCTTGTTGACTTCAAACACAGCTGCTTTGAGTCAAACTGATACCGTAAAAATTGAAAGTCCTTGAAATTGAAAATCCTTTAAAAGTCTTAGACATTCAGAGTGGCCTGTTATAGTTATCAAAAACTCTAACAGTTCACTATTTACGATCATTGTAAGTTTAAGTGAGCTTGTACACTGGCCAAAAAATATTAAAATTAAACTAGTTGTCGTGATAAGTGGCAGAGCTTGTAAAGCAGTCCATAATCGTAATTGTTGGACCGAGTTTTATTCAATTTACAGAGTGAGCTTGAATTGAGTTGTTTGCCTCAGAAATAACCAAACATACTTTCAAAAAGAGGAAAATAATTTAATGTTCATCGAAGCACCATCCAATTTGAAAAAAACTCTTGTAATCAGCTACTTGTGTGCTGAATATGAAAGGTGTAAATATGAAATGTTTTGGCATTCTTCTGATTCTATAGACTGAAAGACGACCCGTGGCCTCGATAAGTACAGAACAACCGATGAAAATGCAAAACGCCTAAGTCTTCGACAGGTGCCACACTTTTAGGAAAAGTTCGTTTTAGTTAGTTTGCGGTTTAGCAGCATTCGTTGACCGATGTTTGTTCAGTGTTACTATGATTAAAAATCGTGTGCTAGCTGATTTCAACTTTCTGGATTAGCAAGAGAGAGCCGTCAGTAAGAATTTAACGAGGATCCTCTTGTGCTGACGCATTCTACAAAAGGTGATTTAACAACGGAAACTGTATTTAACATGAGAAATGCAACTGTCGACGAAGAACGAATATTTAGATCACTAAAACGGTGGTCATCATTCTGTAATTTATATAGATGTCATATGAAAGTGATAAGCCCCTCTATCACGCACCTGTATCACTTTTTATGCTCTCCAAGTCTTTTTGGCCATAATTTTCCCAGTTTCATTAAAATAATAATCGTTCTTTGCATTTATTAGTAGTGACTTTAAAGGAACTACATGAACAATAAACAACGAATTTCCTCTGGGAAATATACCTGGAAAAGGCGAGCACAACTTGATAGATCGCAAGCGTCTTCTTTTACAACTACGCGCTTCGCTTCTTGTTAATTAGAGACAACAATACAAATCTGACACAAAGTTCACAAATTGATAGGACCCGTAGGTGCGCAAACCCGCACCTCAAGGGACACTCAGCGTCAAATTGATTGACAGCTTCCATGACTCTTCAAATTACTTCCGTTTAGGGCAATTTCACATTACTGCTCCTTTTATCAAGAGTGTCCTCTGACAGGCTCACTACAGTCACCACAAGAGCGCTTACTTCTATACTTCAGGTTGGGAATAGAGAAGAAGGTATCGTAAACCTTTGTCATGCATGATTTATTTTCATAACACTAAAAAGGAAATTGGAAGAATGTGTATAGGGTCAGTTTGCGCGGGGAGTTCATTAATTAGCTTTAGATTTACGTTCTCACAGTGGTAAGGCATAAGGATATTTTTTTAACTGTTCGGCGCCAGGAAAGCCAGAGTTGAACTCGTTATCCATTACGATGCGAGTGAAAATGGTTGATCTGATTAAATATTGCAATTCTTAAAGAATAAAAACAAATCCAACCAGCTATTTCGAGATCAAACTCGTGAAGCGTAGAAACTTGACATGATCTTGAAAAAACCAAAGGTATTTCTAATAACCCTCTTGAGTTTTTGCTGGTAAATATTCCCGATACAACCTAACATCTTCTCTAAAAGCTATTACTCCGGACCTCAAAAAGCCACTAAATATCTTGAGTATATAATAAATGAATTTGAATATAAGTCCATCTATTTAGTGGAGTACAAATGAATAGAAGCAATTAACAACACATGTGTGTCAACAAAACAGATAGTACTTAATGAACAAAATCATGCGTGTTCAAGGAGAAGCTGCTAGAACGGGCTAATTCTTTTGAATCAAACCTGACATTGAAAAGCGCTTTTAGTCAGATTATCTGGGATACAGATTTGATATTGAATTACCTATATTGCACTATACTCAATAGTGGATCACGAGATATTAACCCCGAGGGGTTTATGGGACAAACCGAATTAGCTGGCGCCTAATTTGTGTGATGATAGCTAAATAGCAACAACGAAAAAGAAAAAATTATGGGATTATCGCAACGAATCCATTTTCCTGTTCACGGAAGACACGAATCAAACGTATTGAAGGACTGCAGCTCCAGATATTGGTGACTCGCATCTTCACTTAAGCCTATTCTTTTCAATTTCTATATCAATTGCTTTATATTAGCATTCAAGGATATTCTCTGGGGATAATCCATATTCGTGAAAGAAAATGTAAGTGCCAGTTTTGTCGCACACAAAAATAGGATCGGAAGCAGAGGAGGCGTGCTACCGGCATGCTTCCGTAGTGCCACGATCCGGGAGATTTGGGAAAGAGCCAACAAGGCAGTTGAGTGGATGGAAATCCGACTAAAGTGATGAAAAAGCATA